AATAAAACATTTAACTTATGTAAAAAATCTGCAATTCATAAAAAATGCATCATTCATTAAAACTCTTCATTGAAAAGTTGACAAATCAAAGGTCTGTACATGAAAAAAGAAAAATAAATATTATAAGAAAAGAAAAATGCTGTGGCATAAAGGTAATTAAATGATTAATAAACATAAATAAAGAGAATGAAAATGAAGAATTAAAAAGATACAATGTTTATAAGAAAAAGTTAAACAATGAGAAAAGTACAAGAAATAAGATTTGCACAACAAACAGTAACTTTCATGTACCGTCCGAGGGATCGTGCCTTCAAATTTGAAGCCTCATGTTGAAACAAATAGGCCAATTTCCGCTGATAAATTGATTTTATTCAGCAGGTTAGACCCTCCTAAAGGTAAAAGAACAGCATTTGATTTAATTCATAATTTGTAGCAATTATGTTTGGATAGCACATTCTAAACAAATATCTTTTTAATCTTGATTTAAAGCAGCTCAGAGTTTCAGCACTTTTATGGATTTCTGGGAGTTTGTTCCAGATTAGTGCAGCATGAGAACTAAAAGCTGGTATTCCATGTTTGTTTCTGGTTCTGGGTACCCAGAGTAGAATTGGCACTATCTCACCTTTTCCCATTGTGGGACAAAAAAGGGATTTTCTATGGTAAGATGGTGCCATGTTTAGTGTCCTCTGGGGTGACATTGGGACATTTTGAACTGAAAAGCTTCCTGGATTGGAAGCAACACGTCTTCAAATTTATTCCAGCGGATTGTTTTTTTTACTTTTTTGGATTGACTATGGGGTAACACTTTACAATAAGGTACACAACAATTGATTAACTACTCCAGAGCTCATGGGGAACTAACCAGGAACTAACGGGTAGGTAAGCAGTACTTACTGAGCAACTCCCAGACCAGCCTTATTGGACTTAGTTAACTGGGGATCACAGAGTAACTAAGCAGAGAACTAATGGGTATTTTCACTTTACGTAAGGGTAGACAAAAAAAAAATAAGTTTATGGTCAGGTACTAACCGGATAATTAATAGTTCCTTAGGAACTTCTTGATGTGATGCTTGACTCACAGAGTACATAAAGCCTCACAGAGGCAATAATTTGGTACTCAGTAAGGTAGTTTTTTCGCAAGCTGTGACTTCAGAGGTTTTAGTTTTTTTAGAGACATACTTACATCCATTTTCCTTTACACTTCATCCCTGCTGGGGTTGCGAAACTAATTTCTCCAACTTTGCTGTTAAGAATCAGTAGTCCCACATTACGTACTGGTTAACAACACTTTACTTCCTATTAGTTCTTCTTTGTTATTTTGGTAACTTCCCATGTGTTTTTGATAAGTTACTCTGTGTTTGGGGTCTCTGCATGTATAATTTTAGCGTTCTCTAGTAGTTAATCAACTGTGTGTTTCTTATTTTGAATTGTTACCTCCTATTGTCCTATGAGGAAAAGAAAAGCCTCTGGGCCTCCTCCCACAACCCTCTATGTATCATCATAAAGGTCATAAAACCAAAAGGTTTAAAGGCTGATAAAAAATGAATTATCTGTGTGTTTGCAGTTATCCAGTTGTTCAATATTCTCCTTTAGATCAAGTGTTTCCCTGTTTTTGAAACTGATGAGACCCCCCCCCCCCCCCCCCCCCCCCCCCCACACACACACACACACAAACACCAGGCATCATTCAGACGTTGGTTTTTGAGCTAAAATGGTCACAGCCTTGATTTAGTCCATAAATAGTTACTGAAAGTTGGGCTGTGTTTGGTGGCTTTAATTTTGTCCCACTTTAGTCCAATAACAGTCAGTGGAAAGACTTTCAAAACCCAGTTTTCAACGTCTTTTTCAACGATCTGAGAATGACGGCTTTTCATCCTACACTTTTCAACCAAGACGCCGTTTGGATGTAAATCATGTCATCTTGTTATGTTATGATCAGTCAAGTTTTTGGGTCTTTCTTTTCTTCTACCTTGGTGTTCCTCTCTCTAAAACGCCATCAGACATGATGTTAAAACTGGGAGCTTCTGATTTCTGATCTGTTGTCAAGACCAGGCTTATCATATAACTGGCAGATTTTGTAAACTTTAATCCAACCAACATTTTTCTTCTGAATAAAGTTAATGACCTTAAATGACCCAATCACATGTTGGCCTAGTGGGTTAGAGTAGTGCGCTTGTGCTCTGAGAATGTTGCAAGTACCCAGTTCGATCCCTAAAACCTCAACTCTGGGTTCCTGAGCAAGACCCTTAACCCCACACTGCTCCCCGGGCGCCTGACAATGGCATCCCACTGCTCCCCGAGGGGAAGGGTTAACATGCAGAGAGTGAACTTCCCCATTGTGGGACAATAAAGGGATTTACATTATACTCAACTCTGGAGTGAATCTGGTAGAGGTCTGTGAAGGGAGCTGAAGATTAGGGGGATGGTAATGAGGCATTCTAGTCTCAAACATTAATCATCTTTGAGACTGGACTTCAAAACACCAGACTCTAAATCTTTCCTTCCAAACTGGATCTGCAGGCCATCTTCCATAGAAACAGACGGACCCTATTTACATTTGATGCTTGTGGGAGGTTGTGGGAAGGATTTGACCAAACTATTTAACAATAACTCTCCATCAGTGGTCAGAATTTATCTCTGTGTTTTAATGGCTTTCTAGAAAAGGTTTGTAGTAACCATAGCAACCAGATTTTCAGCAGTTCTTGTTCTTCAGTTAGATCTTCTGATCTGATAAGTGGTTCTAGACAGCTTCTCTCTCCACAACCAGAACCAGGACCTGATACGTCAGCAACGTTGAGAAAGATGAGAGCTGTGTAGTGAAAACTGCATCAGGATGCGACACACGTAACAGCTGCACCGCCAGAAGCTCAGCAGTAAATTATTCTAATTGCTGCCCGTCTGGAGCAGGCATGAGGAAACTGGCTGGAGTCCAATATGGGGAGTCACCCAAGCTCCGCCCCTTTCAGCCCAGAGAGCCTCACACACCATCAGTGGGATCACAACAAACAGTGGCTTAAAAAAAGCAGGAATTGCAAATGTCTTGATTTGAACCTTATTAATATTTTCCATTTTTCATGAAGATGTGATCAGCTCAGTGGGTTCAAGTTCAGGAGTACAACTTTAGGAACGTCTAAGTCTTTATTTCTCCCAAAGCAGCAAAGACAGAACAACAAAATGGGTCAGAAAACTAACGTACGAGCTAAACATTAGCTTAGATTTTTTTTAAATTATGAATTCATAGCAGCTGTTAAATATCAACCACCTCAAACACCTGGATTATCATTTATCTTCTGTACTAAAAACTGCTGAGTTTACATATTAAAAAAAGTTAGTTTCTGACCTTAGATTCATGTTTTAGCTGCAGCTTTTTTTTGTTCAGTGCAAGAAAAGATAAAAAACTTTGGGAAGAAATCCTAAAATCTGTGGGACAAAGTTTCTGGACTATGTTACATATTTACCTAATCAAGGCCGGACTCAAGGACGCTGAGACAAACAACCAACAACTAGACGCACATGAAGAACAAAGAGGCTGGATGAAGGAGCAGAACCAGCTGGGAGAGGCAGGAAAAGTGCTGCATCCTGCAGATAACAGCCTGCTGCACATGAGGAAATGCTGCCAGAGCATCTAAACATGTGCTGGATGTTTACAGGGAACCACCGGAGCATGATCCTGCTCTGCAGGCCAGTATGAGTTCACCCGGATCCCTACATGTAGAACGACACGCCGACTGTTACGGTTTTCTAACAACAAACAGAGCTGATCTCAACTGTTTTTAGTCAACGCTTAAATAGAACCCGTAACCCTGATGAGATATCCCGGAATACAGAGCTGACCCACCAGTTAAACCAGTCATAATTTGGTTGGTTCAGCACTGGTCTACCTGACCCAGTAAAACCACAGATTCTACTGAGGTCAGCGAGCCCACAGTTAACGAGGCTGATATCATCTTCGTTTTCTATCTCAGTGTTTGTCCCAGGACTGATCACTGAGCTGCTTACATTGTTCGGTCCGGTTAGGTGACTCTGCGGTCCATTGTTCACCAAGTGGTCGAGGACCCGGATCCTGGGACCTCGACTTCCTGACAGGAAAACATAGATTCTAAGGTTCAGGGAGGAATACTAAGAGCTGAAAACCTTCAGGACAATCTCATCCATTTCTGCTGAAGAGAAGCAGCTCTGCAAAACACATCTAAAGAAGTCAATGTATGTTTGGGAAATGGCTTTAATGCATGAAGAAGGTGGAACTAGAATCCAAAGATATCAGCTTTTAGCCGATCTGGACTCATCATTGACGTGTTTTCCTTCCTGGAAACAAGGCTGAAAACATCTCAACCGAAGTACAACAAAAGACAAAAGATTCACATAATAGGAAACTGTGCTTAGAGAGATGACTTAATTTCTTATTAGTTCAGAAATTGAGTAATTGAAAAAAAAGGTTAAATGGGAAGACAATGAGAAATAAACATGTAAATAAAAATTATGAGAAAGAGACACGTTTTAATCTGTTAAATGTTTCTTTTTACTGAGCTAATTTAAAAACAATATCACCTTCAGGCATTTTATCAGAAAAAAATTATAGATTATAAAATCTCAATTTTAATCTAAATTCTAAGATTTTTTTTTTATTTAACTGTAAAAAAGAAGTGAGCCTATCTAATCTGAGAGAAAAAGTTTAATTCTCCTCAGCTTCTGTCTAAAGTATGAACCTGATAAATAAAATAAAATGAGAACACTTATTCGTTTTTTGTTTTTATTAAAATTTGTTCATCTTAAAAATTAAGACCAACTTTAACAAAAGTTAAAAGTTCACATGTTCCATGAATAATAAAAGAAAAACATTAAAACAATCAGGATTTTTTTTTTCAAAATGACATTTTGCTGAACTTAGAATAAAAAGCGTAAAAAAAAAAAAAAAAATCTCACAGAAAAAAAGCCGTAAACAAACCAAACATGATCAACATCATTCCTTATTGCTTATCGCCCTGATGTGCTGGCTGATGATCATCACAAGTGTTTAACGTCAAAGCATTAACTGCCTTTGTTTTGGTTAAACTATATACAAATCTGGATATAAAGACTTCAGACCCATCCAAGTGAAATCAGAGTTACATCATCATCTGATCTGCTGTGAGGGAAAAAAAATCCCGGAAAATTTACATCTATTACTGTTGATGTTTTACTGCTGATCAGAGCGTCTAAAGTTTGTACCTCGGACAGAATTGGGTCAGAATGTGGCTGTAAACCTTAAGGCAGGACGATCAGAGGATCAAGGCACGTGTGACCATGTAACAAGTATGATGTGGGATTCTTTACCGACAATCAGGCATTAAAAGCTGCACACAACGAGAATAAAACAGTCAATTATTATTTAACAGTTTTAACAAAATGAATCAGTTTTAGGGTCTTTGTTTTCAGTGGATTGTGCAGCAAATTAAACCTGATTTCTCTTCTTTTTATGGTAACTGGAATCTTAACACCAAATGTGCTTGTTTGGTTCCTTACAAAGGCTTTTTTCGAACCAGAAAGTTTCTTTTTTGTTAGGAGAGGTAGAACAGAAAGTTTCACTATATACTGATGACGCTTTAATGTTTATCGCTAATCCTGAGAAAAATGTTGCTCCTTCATTATTGGTCCGTTTAGTCTCCCAGACTTTCATAAGAACTTAAATTTGCTTCCTGTTAAACTCATTATCTCTGCTGGATCATTTATATGTTTATAACTAAAGGGGAATAAAGGCTCAGTTTGAGCTGCAGCCTCTACCTGAAGCCAACAGCACCCATTAAACCACCTCCTCTAGGGAATGATATACAGTGCATTCATAAAACATTAATAATATTACATTCAATTTCAAGAAGATTAATTAGTTTGGTTATAAATTCAACAATATCAACTTAATTAACCTGACATTTTAGTGATTTTAAGACTTTAATCTTAATCTAATTGCTGTTAATTGGAGATGTCAGGGATGTGTTGAAGAAAATGCTTTAAATCCAATTTCTTTGTACACTAAACCATTTTAAGATTACATTTATTTACATTTAGAGAAAATGTTCCTGGAGTGTCGAGAAGGTTTTATCTGGTAGCTCTTGCTCCACTCTATAAGTTTACAGAACATGAGGAGTTAACAGCAGTAGACGACTTATAAAGAATACATTTTTCATATCAGGATCATCCTAAAAACAGAATAATCCTTTTAAACAGTTGTTCCTTATTCTATTTAAGAGGCTTAACAGTTTCAGGAGTGAAACTAAACAGGAGCTCGGAGCCAAAAATGGCTGCCTACGCTTTATTTCCACGCGTCCTGTGGAAGATAACAAAGAGCTTGTGAAGAATTCAAATGGTAACTGATAAGGAAGCAACAGCTCTAAGTCCGAGCAGTCCGTTCTCTGGGTTGTGAACGAGGACACAAAGAGACGCTCCGTAGGGAAGCTTCAGTTTTTGCTCTTGAGCTCAAAGCGGCTGTAAACCTGCTTTACTTTCATCTTGTTGTAGTGATTCACCAGGTCCAGCTTGCTGTGGCCTAACGTCATCCGCTTCTGGTCCTGGCGACTCATGAAGCCCGGTGGAGACGTTGGCGGCGGCGGGCCCTGCTGGCTTTCCGGTTCCGGCTGAGAGAGTTCTGGTACTCCCCAGGGTGGAGTGTTCAGAGGGGATGGAGGCCTGCGGAAGTTGTAGGTGTCTTTGGAGTACGGCATGATTTTGTCGGATAATTTGTTAAGGAACTGGCCTTGAGGCGACCTCTGCATCTGGGGGAGTTTGGCGTCGCTGACCTGGGAGGGGGGCTGGTGCTTCGGGGTGCTATGAAACATGGAGGATTTTTCATACAAACCCAGTCCCTGAAACTTAGAGGTTGTTCCTCCAATATTTCCTCGCAAGGGTTCCCCAGATCCGGGTTTGTTCCACTCGATGCCCGCCGATTGACCATAGCTTGGTATCTGGCGGTCAGTAATCAGGTTGTGACTGGTTCCTCCATTAGGAGAACCTCGCACTGCAGAGGTTGGTCCTCCTACTCTCAGCGGACCTCCAACTCTTCTCTCGGGGCTTTGGAGGGCTGAATCCTTCTTCTCATGACCCGGAGAGACCTTGTAGACGTTGTTGGAGGTCATTCCAGGAGCAACCTTAATACTGGACACACTGTTGCTGGACTGGCTGCTGGAGTGATCAGAACAGCTCCGGTCCCGTTGCCTACAGGAGGAGAGACAGGCAAGATCAACTCACTGAAAAAATAATCCACTTCATCAGGAAACTTCTTAGGTTTGCCTGAGACTCCAGACCCAAACAATTGGTTCAATCTGGGATCTAACATGAGTCTGGATGAATGAGAACAGTTTGGATCAGATTGCCAACAATTTCACCAACAGAAGCAGTTACAGGTTCTGATCTAATTACCAGGTTAACAAAACCAAGACCAAGTAACTGGGGCCAGAACCTGGATTCTTTCTTTTTTTTAAAGGGAAATGAACTAAAAAGCCAAACAAAGCAGCTGTGGGGAGTTGTTTTATAGAATAAAAAATAAAAGCATGATTTAGATTAACATTTTAAACTGAAGTAATTGGAGTATTTCTACAGATTTGTTATGGATTTTCCTCTAATTCGTTAAACAAAAGGAGGAAAAGGAGCCGAGACAAAATATAGTCTTTAATCAATCTGAGAGAAATGAAAGAAACACTAGGGCTGCAACTAATGATTATTTAGCAAAATGATTAATCTGTTGCTTATTTTTTAGATTAATCTATTAATAACCGGGATAGTAAAAGGAAGAATATTTTTTACGAAATTAAACCAGGTGAAAAGAAAGTTTTCCACTTGAGGAGTTCTGGATAGAGCATACTGACAGATAAACTTTTATTTTTTAGCTTAAATTCAAAATATATATATATATATATATATATATATATATATATATATATATATATATATATATATTTTTTTTTTTTTTTTTTTTGACACAATTACTGCTCCAAGTTGGTCGCTCTATCAGCTAAAGGCATGTTTTAAAGTCTCTATACTCCAATTAACAATTAATAAATTAATCAATTACTACATGGACGATTATTTCAATAATCAATCACAATGAATCCGATTAATTGTTTCAGCCCTAAAAAACACACAAAGCTACCCAATACAACCATATTTTCCTGAATAATCTGACGTACTCCTAAAAATCTAGTTTCTATCTATAGATGAAATTTAACAGCAACACAAACTTAAATTCAAACCAGAGGTTTCTGAGAAGAAATGAGCAAATAGAGAGGAAAGATGTATAATTTATTAGGAGCATCTCACATGCTGCTGGGAGCTTTGGGAACAGACTGGAAACTTACTGAACCGCTTTCTGGTTAAAATTAATCTTCATGCTAAACATCTACCAGGCTGAACGCCTACCTGTCAGAGTGTAGATCCAGCCCCATTGGCCCGCCGATCCCCATGGTTATCCCATGGGGCAAAAAGGACTGATATGGTGGAAAATAAGGCATGTCGTCTTCTTCCGGGTTGAATCTGTCGATGATCTGCGAGTCGGCGTACAGACAGCGGAACTCCTTGTCGAAGCTGTCGGTGATGACGCCGGAGAAGTGCATCACCATGTTGCTGTGCACCTGAGCCGACAGCCAGGTGAAACTGCAGAGAGGAGGCCCAGAATAAAAACCCAGATTTTACTTTTTATTATCAGGAACTTAAAGATCAGCAGAGAAAACAAAGTAGTTTTATACACAAATTAAACAATCATCACAGATCTGACCATCCGAGGAACTTGACACATGTCAATCTAAGAATAAAACAAGTTACTACATGTAAAGGCTTCTGATATAAACTATAAATTGAGTGACAAATCAGGGTTAAGAATGGACTTTGTTCGTTGGTGGGAGGCCTGTTAACCGGTTATCAGCATCTGGTCAATAAAATCTGATGTACAGGAATTATAAAACAGCAAATAAATGCTGCTCTGAGCATCTATCAGCAATTATTGTGTAAATGATCTCCCTCCCTCCACCTCCAGATGATAAAGCAGCGTTAACCGTTTCCTGCCTGCTGATGAGTCACCGCCGTGACTCATTCCATCAATCAGGACATTTATTGGGTTTATTTGGCTGCAATAATGGACAAATAACAGCTTGAGCGTCGACATCTCTCTAGAGAAAATGCATGTTTGCATTTAAAACATGTATTCATTACTGAGAGAAAGAATCCAAACCTTAACAGGAAATCTGATTCTTTTAAACAAGAATTGGTCATCGTGCTGTATTGAATATTAATATTAATATCAGCCTGAAGAAATAAATGAAATTAAAAGGAATAATGGTTATGAATTTATTCAAACAATAGAAAAACTGTAAATTATTTCCATATATTTAATATTACTAAATAATCGTATCTTTTGAGTTTTGTTTCAACCTTTTAGTGATTTTAATTGAAGAGAAAACTTGGTTTTCTGTAAGCCAACCTATTTACTACAATAATATTAATAACTATTATTAGTAGTTATAGTTTATTTATATTCATTAAAAAGAAATGCATTAAAAAGAAGATAGAAATTTCATTAAGAAGTTCATTTCTAAATCTTTCTTAAATTAATACAAAAGCATTTACTTTGACTAAAAATATCCAGCTTACTTATTTAAAGCTCTTTAATAAAAGTGGAAATAAATTGAAGTTATCTTTAGCAGTGAATTTTTGATATAATTACTGCTCCAAGTAGGTTTTTCTATCAGCCAAAGGAATGTTTTAACACTAAATGTTTATGTAATGCCTTTTATCAGATGCAGGCGAGTTTGACAGTCTGTAATAATAACTACAGGAACTACAGATTAAAGATAAAAAGTTCAATGCAGACGTTTTCTGTCGTTTTTCTCCTTGCACCAGGTTTGTAGAGGCGTTTCTAGACCTAACCTCCCCTCAGCATCACACCTCCCTCGCAGCCCTGACCGGCCGAGGAGCTCACTTTAATCTTATTGTCATGAGAAGAACCATTTCTGTAGGAAGACATCATTTCTGTAGGATATCGATGTGAAAGTTGTTAAACCTGTTGGGTCAGATGGCTCTGCAGCATTTTTCCAGCAAACAGCAACATGAATGGAAGTGTCTGTGAAACCAGTTTAACCAGCTTTGAGTCAGCTGCAGCCAATCGGTGAAGCCGCCGATGTTTCCCTGAAGGAAACGCTCAGATCAGCCATGAGCCTCCCCTGCACCCTTTACTGCTCCGCTTCATCAAACTTTTACTTCACAGAGTTATAAACTCATAATATGTTCAGCCAAGTTAAGATAAAGCAGCATCTTTTTATCTGCTTCCTGGAATATTAAATTTTTTTTACATTAAAATTTCCAGTCAGGAACTGAGCTAATAAACCAGTTTGATGAATTATTAATGAAGCTCCTCCAGTCTGTCCTTTCATTCTCTATTGTTTTACAGTTTTCACTGGAACGTCTTAAAAAAGAAAAAAATTACCATCATCGTGAACAGATAAAGATTGTCTCTTCTTCTTGGCCACAGGCTGGGATATATTAGGCAGTCTTTGAACAGTACGTCCTTAAAGTTGATAGAAAATTTGGGTGAGAAAATCTGCAAAGCTGCAGCTGATGCATCCAAATGATCCAACATGGGATCAGAAGTGAAACATAAATTAATGCAACTTGAGAGAAGAAGCTGAACCGTGCTGTTGGCTACTGTAGCTCACAGACTATGTGCAGCTATGCATGCTGAGTCAAGTTTACCGCTGCAAGGACCAATTTTAAAATTAATTTTAAAAGCTGCAGATTCGATTGAGAGCGTTGCATCAAATTTTTGATGCATGAAGGTGTGGCGACGTGATAAAACCTGACTTAAGTGCTTCATTCCAGAGCAACATAAAATGTGCCAGCCTGTGCCGACCCAACCCTCATACCTGCAGCACAGCGGAAGCCAAACCCCAACCCGCCTCAGCCTCCAACGGATCAGACTGAAGACGGATTGAACAGAAAAACTCCAAGAAACTTTCTGCTCCCTGATAGTGACAGCCTGGGGTTTTACAAGCTGTAGCAGGAGTTATAATTACACCATCAAGTACACGCAGTAATTATCAACACTTCTCTGAACTGATCTGTGACAACAGCTTGGTAAAAACGAAGTCTCAGTTAGCCCAGCAGCTTCGCAGCAGTTTGACACTCAGACACCCTCAGCATCACTTCAGAGGACATCGCTAAAGCATTGAGCTGAGTCTCCACTCTAAAGCTGGACCCATTTACTCGTCACATTGGGCGATTTGTCCATTAAAGGAAGTCAAGTCCTCATGATGCGAGTAGGAAAGCTTTACAAAAAGAGACAAATAAACACTTTGGAGTGAAAGCTGCAGAAAGTGGAGCTCAGTCTGAGCTGAGGATGAGTAACTGAAGCGACACCAGGTTTTTTTTCCTCGAGAACATTCAGATCACACAATGGCTGCTTTTAGAACAAGTTTCTTTACTCAGTCGGAATTATTTCTGTGATGAAAGTACAGCAGGATCCAAGATTCATGACAATCAACAGTAGAGCCATAAACTAGGGACGCAAGTTATTCAAAAATAAGTTAACCCTTTAAAGCCCGATCCAAGAATAAAACAAAACAGAAAATTATATATTTTTTTTGGTTTGAAGTCCTTATTTGGCCTTTTAACAAAATATGTAAAAAGAAAAAACAGAAATACATTTTTGATATTAATAATTTATTACTATGCGATAAGTCAAGATTATTTTTGTGTAGTCTTCTGCCCTCTGTTATCAGGTATATCTGATTGTGTACAATAGGATTTTGAGCAAAGTTTTTACCATTAAATTATGCAAAAGGTGTCAGACGCAAAACATTTAAGAAACAGTATGTATCAAATATGATACATTTGGCATTACAGGGTTAAATTTAATCAATCATCTAACAATTAATTGATAAGCTGCCAATTTCCTAAAAGCCTGAGTTTACCAGTGTATAAAGACGGTCATGAAAAACACATTAATTAAAATATGATGATTTGAAAAAATAAATTTGATATGAATATGAATAAATATGAATAAAATATAAAGCAGAGACCTTTATGATGAAAAAAATATGATAAAGTAATATGATAAAGTAAAATATATGAAACTTTTGCGAGATGTAAGGTTCAAATGGATCAACTTTGAGACGCACTAAACAGCCGAAGCAGCACCCATCTGGGAAATGTATGGACTTGTTTGTTTTCAGCCTAGACTTAATAATAAACAGCAGAAGATGCAGGTTTTTTATTACCGAGGTAAATCCAGCATTAAAACTGGCTGTGATGTCGGCCTCATGAGATTCTGTGGGTCAAACACAATAATTTAATTTATTTTATGACATCTTTTGTTTTCCTTACCATTTATATAAAACCATCTGTTTCCACCGATCTCTCAGATTTTTTGTGGACTGTAGAAAGCAGACGTTGCTAATTGCAATTTATTATTATTTGATGTTCAATCACAAAATTAAAGCTCTTCATTATCTAATCTTTTCCATTGACTGGAATCAGTCTTATGTTATCTGGAAGTGTTGCTCTATCTCTCTAAAATGAAAGTGTTGGCCAGAAAAAACTGTTTAGTTGAAACATATATAGCAGGTCAGATAAATATAAACCATAAAAATATAGATATTGGAAGGCTAATGTTGAAGGTCAGCATCAGGTTTTGATTAAATTCAGAGAGCAATATCTGCAGGGCTCCTACTCCATAGTTCAACAATTCGCCGGATCGCTTTCATTTAATAATTATGGATCATAATAGAAAAATAAACGGTAATTGTCGAAGAAGCGACAATTAAAATAAAGCAGTACGCTAATCCTCATGGTCCCATATCCCCAGGCAGACATGGCTTCAGTGTTGATCATTCCAGGCCAGCGTAACTTCTGTAATTCATTATGTTTGTGTAACCTACAAACCATGTTATAAACCAGTTTTCTGCCAGGTGCTGATTTAATGTTTTTATATTTAGTTTAGTTTTATTCCGAGGAGAATAAAAGGAAAACCATGAGTTGGTTGAACTCTGCCCTCCGTGTCTCTTATCTGCTCGCTGGGCGTGCAGCTGTGAGAACAGGTGACGCTCTGGTATTTCACAAACTGTTTTAACCACCAGCAGCGTCTGGCTGACAGCCGTGCTGCACGTCGGCTTCATCAGCTTCTCCACAAAGATTTGCAAACTCATGTGAGGCTTCCTCTGTCAGTCCTGCTTATCAGCATGGATGCAAAGTTAACGTCAGGCTGCAGAAGGCGAGCAGTTTAAAGGCAAACTGTCCTGTTCTCCCCTGAAATACGAATAAATGCTGATGAATCTTTTGATTGCTCTTAAATACCTTATTGAATGTGTTTTTATCTGTATACCCTTTAATTTATATCCCCTCTTCTTAAATAGTCTTTTTTAAATAAATAACTAAAAACAAAGTTCAGGGCCGTCTCTCTCTGCCTCAGCAGCTTTCAGGTCAGGGTTTGAGATGCTGTCCTCTCACCTGTATGAGCCAGCAATGACCTCCTCACAGTCGATGATCATGAACTTCTCCAGGACCTGACCGGTGAACTTCTTCCCACCTCTGGTGCAGTACGTGTCGCCGCAAACGCTGCGGATTCTCATATTCTGCAAAACAACAGATGGACGCAAACAAAGAAAACAGCTCAGCAACATACAGGTAAAATATTTGATCATTCTAAGAGTTTGAAATAAAGCATCTAATGCAGCATTTATGGGTTTGGATAGAAGGAAGCAAACAGAAATCTGCAAGACAATTGCAAGCGCTGTTAGTTTTATACACAACAATTATTAAAAAAAGTTTCCCCTATTATATAAAATAAAAACTTTAGAAAGCTACAGATATAAACTTATTTTAAAAACTTAAGGAATATTTGACTGTTTGGAAGAAAACATGAAGGCCTGAGGAGTGGAGCTAAGTTCTGGACAGAACCAAGAATCACTGCATATGTGCAGCATTATGCGCATCATTGCATTAGCTTTATATTCTTTAAAAATACACTTGACCAGAATAATTAAAAGATTTTCATGAAAAGGTAAATAATCTAGAAAACCAGACTTGCTTTGACTGCTTGGAGTCAAATGTCATGCATTCAGATTTTAAATAAAGACCAATTAGAATGAGAAAAAAGGCTAAATGTTACTTAGTACATCATCAAAACTCTGCAGCCCTAGTTTACAGATCAACCCACCAGAGCATCGGGTTCAGCTTCCAGTTATCAGATCATCATGACGGCATCTTCAAAGATTCACAGCTCTCAAACTTTACAACCACAACTTTTATTTAAGTCGGATTCCTGGCAGACCTACATGAAGGCTATTAAACTACATGTACTGACAAGGGCGGAGCTAAAGGGGTAACCGTGGTAACACTGGCCACATCTGGAAACTACGGGCCTTTCCCAATCAGTGGCTGCTCCCTCCCCCTACTCACTACACACTATGGCCTTTCCTCCCGCTGCCGGAACAGGAAGCTGTCGTCACCATGGTAGCAGTCTGAAATCGGACAGCGACTGTTGCCATGATACGCCGGCGGCTGGAGATTCATCCTGATGGACATGCTCCACTCGCAGCTTCATCAATTTTTTTTTTTTTATAAAATATTTAATTATGTTCAGTTCTGACTTTATTTGCAATTCAATTCAGTTGATGTCATCTTAGGGCACGTCACAGAAACAATTCAACCAGATCATACATACAGATTGGTTCAAAGTTTTCTAAGTGCAAACAGTGCAATAATTTGTCAAAACAATTGCAGCTTTGACTAAAGGATTTATATAGCTTTGTGAAAGGATATTTGTTGGTGAGGTGTTTCTATATTCAGAGTATCTGTGTAATGCATTTGCAGAACGTTCTTTTATACGTCCCGTCCACCATAATTTGGTGCTGGTGGACTGGGAAACAGATCCTCGCTCTATGGAAGGCCTTATCAGCCACTCGCAGTTGTACATGAATAGTTTCAGATGGGACTCAATATGGCCGACCCACCACAGGCATGCGCTACCAGAATGAGTATTGGGTAGGGAGAGGGAGTGGCCACTGACTGGGAAAGGATTGATAGTCACCATTTTTTTCGTTTCATCAAAAGTTGACCAGTTCAACCCGAAGGACGCCTGTTTTTACCAGAATGAAACCACAGAGGGGATCATTATAGCTGAAGGCATTTGTATTTATGAGGCCAAACTTAGGGGTTGGCAAAGTCTCAGTAATGCACTTCCTGTTTCGTCTCTTCTTCTGGTGGCAAAATCCAGGCTGGTTTTCTCTGCAGCGCCATCCACTGTTTTACCTAAGCGCTGCAGCTCTTCAGCCTCGCCTAAATCACACATAACGCCGCTGTTTGGAGAATTTATATGAGACAACATGACCGCCATGACCGCATGGGCTGAATGCAAAATGACCTTTGACCTCTGAGCTCAAGTAGAAGAGCAGTTGACCAAAAATCAATGCAGAAGTGCTGCTTCAACAAACAACTCCTAATATTCCACAAAAACCGACAATAAGAGGCATTATCATTGGTCATTTGGACTAAAACATAGAATATGAATCTTATAACTGAACTTGTGGTTCAGTTACAGCCCTGTGGTTCCAAACTTACCATCAGGTGCGAGTTCTGGATGTCCAGCGCCGCACACATGTCTGTGAAGTAGCTCAGATTCTTCTCGTCCAGCAGGATGTAGACAGGGACTCGCCGCTTGTTGGACGCCTCCATCAGGTCGCACATCAGGTCCACGTCTGTGAAGATGTCCATCACCACGGCGATGACCTATAGAGACAGCAGCAGTCAGTCGATCTGCCTCAGAAGCTTTGTGCTGAAACATGTTGGATGTTCCCTTCTGGGGTCCATAGGTTCTCCTCACCTTCAAAAGTGCTAAACGTCAAAGGTTTTTTAGGCTTTCTAAAGATTTTTGTTTTCTGTGAGCTTTAGCTGATGTTAGAAGGAGGAATGTTTCTCTGTTAAGTTAGCGTTATTTTTTTTATTTTCTTAATCAGGCTGTAAATCAGCTCCATGTTCTGTTTCTTGAATTGATAACAGGAACTCCAGCTCTGATTCTGACCTCCTGACCTTCTCTATTTATCTCCTCGCCTCCTGTCTCTTCCCAGCTGGAAACTCATCTCTTACTGACGCCTCTGTGTTATTTTCCGGGTGGAATTTTACAGAGCCGGGTTAGAAGTGAGATCTGAAGCAAAACAAATCGGCTCAGGAGGAAGAACATTTACTTTTCATAAATAAACCAGGAAGAAGCATGCGTGGGAGGCGGAGGAAGAATTTTAATACAACCTGATTTAATCTACTATGTTACAGTAAAAGCTTCAGCACTCAGACCCATCTGGACCCGTTTGGAGCTGAATGTCCAGAACCTCACAGTAAGAACCAACATATTGATTTACACCCCATGGAAACAGACACATATATAACTTATAAACAGACAGGTTAGCATCTATTTGTTTCATTTTTTTTAACTCTAAGGACCTTCGGTCACCATCTGCTGCTCAAACTGGTCATAAACTTTCAGGTAATTTCAGACTAAGATGAAGCATACAACATAACTCAATCACAATGCTCCTTTCTAAACCGGTTCATCTACAGCTGTGATCATTTAATCCAGATTATCTCCTTATTTGTCAGTGTTATTCAGGTTTGTTCCAGGTTTTATCTTTAAACCATTTCTATACGTTTGAGTAGTTTTCCTTTCTTCTATGCTGTTTTATTTTGGGTTTTTCTTTGCGTTGCTCTGTTTACAGGTGTGTGTTTTCACAACAACAAGGTAGAAAAACATCAACAATGACCTCAGAGAAGCAGCTTCTCCTGTTTATTAGAGATCAACGCCGATATCGATTATTATGACATCAGTCTAGCTGATCTCCGATAAGCGCTGCTAATTTTTGTTGCTTGATTTTTTAGACCAGTATGTCTTTCTTTTCCTCCCTTTACAGGATAAAATTACTTCACACTAATAAATGTTGCAATAGTCCCAATTTAAACGATGGAAAACAACAACAAACCAAACATTAATAATGAAAAGCCAATGGAGGGAGCAGCAATTCATGCACTTCATGTGATCAGAAGGCATTGATGCTGAAAGTACTGATAATTCGCCGAAAGAGAGGGTATCGACAGATACGATAAATAAAAAAGCAAATATCGGCTAAAATGATGAGCTGGCCAATGCATCCATCTACACTTTATACATGGAGGGTAAACAGGCCATCTTCAAATCAAGAACACTGGAATTTGGACTGATCTTTACATAAAACATGTTTTGGAAAAAACAGACATAATTCATCATCTGTACTGCAGAGGCACGGTGATGGAGGGATGGTGATTTGGACCAAGAACTCCTAATCTGAGGCCATCTGTCAGTCAGTTTGGTCCAAACTGACCTAATATTGAGGCGCTGTCAACTCAGCTATTAAAGCACGAAGCACATCTTTACTCAGATGGAGGAATCAAGAGTTTATTTGTTTAATTTATAATAAAACATCTGAAGGCTGGTACGTAGGTCTATGATCAGGTCTATCGTTTCAAATCAACGCTTCAAATTCAGGACAAAACCGAATCAGCTGCCATTTGTGCTAAAGTTTCATGTTGGAGGTTTATTTACTGCATTGACATATTTATCATTTATGAGCCTAAATAGCAAAAAACTAAATAAAGCTCAATATTTTTGGAGGACCATGTTGCTTTAACCTGATAAACCAGTCTTGGAGCCTTAGGGGGTTAATCCATTCTGCTGTGGGGCCACAGATGCCTCAGAGTTCACAGAATCCACAGCTCAAATCAGAGTCTAACAAAACCCAGTCGACAACCAGCCAACCCGCTACAGCAGAGGTCACGGATTAGCGGACCGCTGTCCGGATCCGGACCCACCTGCTGGCTAATCCTGACCCAACCTGATTTAAAACATCTATAAATTACTGCATGTTGTCCGACGACAGAGTCTAACTTCACATGCACTGCTTCTCCTGTTAATACAGTAAAGACATGTCCAGCTCCACGCTGCATGTGATCCAAATGATCCAATGAGCTGCTGTCAGTCTGGGTTGCTGCTGCTGCTACTTTTAGACACAGCAGACAAACCTGTGTCAAGCCGGGCGATGGGAAAGAAGGAGAAGATGATGAGAAAAAGAGAGCAGAGAAAGTGTGGACTGGTGGAAGAACTATGGTGAACTGGTGAAAGAAAAGGGAAATGGTGCTCAAAGATGACCCTGAACATTTGGAGGATGTTTGGCTCAACCTGCTGCTGTGAAGCAGGATTCTCCACCATGAACAGAATCAACAATAAATCTGGATCCAGGCTCAAAATGAGCTCCTTGGTATGTGCTTTAGAATGGCTTAGTCTCCATTCATAAAGCCCACTGCCAACATTAAGCCATAGAAAAATCAAGAAAAAAAAAGAAAAGGTCAGTTCAGGTGTTTTATAAAAAAAATAAATCAGGAAATTGTCTATATACCAAATTGAAAGATTGTTGTTCTCTGCTTCAAAAACAATCTAGATTTTAATATACAACAACATTGTATTTTTTTATGTTTATATTTATATCCATGTATAACATGGATGCACAAACACCTCATTTTATTTCAGTGTTAAATTCTGTTTAAAGTAACGGATTATAATAAAAAATGTCTCCGGATCTTTACTGGTTTTTGATGTTTTTGTTCGGACCTCAATGTTTTTTAATTGGTTACGCCTGCTCTACAGCTTTGTCTGTAAAACGGCCTCAGCGAGAGACTAAAGATAATTTCTGATTAATTAATTTGGACGAAGAAAAACTTTGACTTCTTGCATGTAATGAAAAGAGAAAATACGTTAGAGCTAGAGGGCATAAATTAGACTGAATGCTTAAGATCCAGAAGAAAAACAGAGAAGAAAAGCAGCAAGTAGCTGCATAGCAGAGCTACCAAGAAAACTAAGATGCAACCAAACAGTCTATTGTCTCTTCTTTTACCCATGCAACTAACCAGTCATCCATTTATTTTTGAATAATTATGAATGCAGATGTTTATGAAATGCACCATCTGTTCACTTTAACTGGTTATTACTCTATAATAAATACGTTGCAACAGTTTAAACCAGGTTTCTCTCCAACCTTCCAGCTCCTTCCTGGCAGACAGAGGGGGAAAACCTTATGTTAGTAGGGGTGGACAATAAATCAATTTAAATATATAAATAATATAAATATTAGTTCAACAACGTTGGTATGACTTTTAACAGATTTCAGATATTTAATATACATTACATTTATCGATAAAGCATTTGATGTTTCAGGTTTTATGTGTTTTGTTTTTTAAAGCCAGTATTTGTAAAATATTATATTGGAAGATTTTAATAAAATGGCAAAATAATTGTCATTAAGTTGTACAGGATAATCAAATCATTATTGTAAGTGTTTCTGTTTGTTTTTTGTTGTTGTTTTAAATCAACATTGAAACCATATTAACCAAAAGTAGGACATAGATCCTGATAAACGTTTTGGTCATATTGTCCTGGTGTATTTTAACAACTTGTAATCATAATAAACTATTATCCGATTTGAGGTTCATCAAGGCTCCGTTCTCGCACCTCTTTCATTTCATACTGATCGGCTCCCTCGGCTCAGTTCATAGTATATAAAGCATAACATCATCTGCATCAAACTGAAACACAAGATATGCAGAAACTGCTTTAACCAGTCTGTAAATATCACATAAATATATGCTGCAGCTTCCCCGTCAGACCCAACAATTACTGAACACCTTTCATCGCATTATGGGACATTTATCCAAATCTCTTAGCCTCTGGTACCTAATTTAACTGTAGAATTGCTGTGAGTATAAGGTGCTGTACAAACAAGCTTGTTTAACTGCAGAGCTGATTGTATAAATAACATCCTCTTATGACTTCGCCACATCAATATAACAACATTTTACTTTTATGGCTTTATTGTATAAAAACTGACCAATGTTTTAGTTTCTTTTTCTAGTGCATGGCATCTTTTAGTCATCATGGTTGAGTTTAAGAAAGAGCAGAAGGTGTTTCTACTCATAAAAATACTGGATAAATAACTTGGATAAGAATGATCAACTTATTTTGTTTTCAAATTTCAGTGACATTCAAAATTAGCAGTTTAAGAGAGAACAAAAAGTCCAAAACTCCTTGTTTTGTCTCTGAAGTGCAGCAAATGCAACATTATTTCAAAGCTAAAGGAGATAAAGACTTTTAACACTGGGTGTTTTTTTTTTTGCTTTTAGCTTTATCAGGGAGGGATTTCTGCAGTGTAACTTTTAATTCTTCAGCCTGAAAATAACAGAATAGTGTGGGATCATGATGTTTTTACTTGGATATATTACTCAATAAAACATAAAAAGTGGTGTTAAAACTTCAGAGTGGAGATTAAATCCTTTCCTAACGCAGACAGCGAGTCAACAGCAGCTTTGCAGATATCTTCGGCCCAATCGTAGCCTGGATGTTTTTAAAAACCTTTATCAATCATTTAAAAAAACATAGAAGTTTTTTTCATCTTGTTCATATGTTTACTGCAACCAAACTGTAAAACAGCAGATCCACCATGATGTCACTGCAGTTCAATATCACAAACTAGGTCAAAGGTCGTTTATTGGCTCAATCTGATGAAAAAACAAGTTACAATCAGCCCACGTTTAAAGAAACCTCAGATTTCTGCACATAAAGCTTCTGTATTTATAGACACAAGAGGAGGAAGTGACTCACATGCACCGCGTGCTGGACTGTCTGCAAACAGAACTTGTGTTCTTCTGGGATCAGTCCACAGTTGCACGGATGGGTTTTGCATCAATGTGCAATCGATAATCAGGAAGTTCGAATTTCAGAGAAAAACACACCTCAAAATCTGCAAACTTCATGGACTCACCAGCAGTGGCCCAATGACAGAAAACTCAACATAGAGTGGCTTTAAGCTGCATGTTAAACAAGTAGAACCAGCTGCTACAGAAATTCAGACACTCGGAACAATTCAGAGACTTACACTATATTGCCAAAAGTATTTGCTCACCCATCCAAATTATTGGAATCAGGTGTTCCAATCACTTCCATGGCCACAGGTGTATAAATTCAAGCACCTAGGCATGCAGACTGTTTTTACAAACATTTGTGAAAGAATGGGTCGCTCTCAGGAGCTCAGTGAATTCCAGCGTGGAACTGTGATAGGATGCCACCTGTGCAACAAATCCAGTCGTGAAATTTCCTCGCTCCTAAATATTCCACAGTCAACTGTCAGCTGTATTATAAGAAAATGGAAGTGTTTGGGAACGACAGCAACTCAGCCACGAAGTGGTAGGCCACGTAAACTGACGGAGCGGGGTCAGCGGATGCTGACGCGCATAGTGCGAAGAGGTCGCCAACTTTCTGCAGAGTCAATCACTACAGACCTCCAAACTTCATGTGGCCTTCAGATTAGCTCAAGAACAGTGCGCAGAGAGCTTCATGGAATGGGTTTCCATGGTCGAGCAGCTGCATCCAAGCCATACATCACCAAGTGCAATGCAAAGCGTCGGATGCGGTGGTGTAAAGCACGCCGCCACTGGACTCTAGAGCAGTGGAGACGCGTTCTCTGGAGTGACGAATCGCGCTTCTCCATCTGGCAATCTGATGGACGGGTCTGGGTTTGGCGGTTGCCAGGAGAACGGTACTTGTCTGACTGCATTGTGCCAAGTGTAAAGTTTGGTGGAGGGGGGATTATGGTGTGAGGTTGTTTTTCAGGAGCTGGGCTTGGCCCCTTAGTTCCAGTGAAAGGAACTCTGAATGCTTCAGCATACCAAGACATTTTGGACAATTCCATGCTCCCAACTTTGTGGGAACAGTTTGGAGCTGGCCCCTTCCTCTTCCAACATGACTGTGCACCAGTGCACAAAGCAAGGTCCATAAAGACATGGATGACAGAGTCTGGTGTGGATGAACTTGACTGGCCTGCACAGAGTCCTGACCTCAACCCGATAGAACACCTTTGGGATGAATTAGAGCGGAGACTGAGAGCCAGGCCTTCTCGTCCAACATCAGTGTGCGACCTCACAAATGCGCTTCTGGAAGAATGGTCAAAAATTCCCATAAACACACTCCTAAACCTTGTGGACAGCCTTCCCAGAAGAGTTGAAGCTGTTCTAGCTGCAAAGGGTGGACCGACGTCATATTGAACCCTATGGATTAGGAACGGGATGTCACTTAAGCTCATATGTGAGTCAAGGCAGGTGAGCAAATACTTTTGGCAATATAGTGTATGAGTTTAAAAAAGGTGCAAAACCTGACTTCCAACCTGCATGCAAATCATTTTAACTTCACATTTTCAAAATAATGAAAATGGTTGAAGAGAAAAACACACTTAAAGGAACTTTCAACCCAAAAAAGAAGAAGAAAACCTAAACTGACCAACGTGATGCTGAAAAAATTTATAGGAATATTAATAGTTGATCTATCACTGAAATAATCATTAACTAATTTGGTAATCGATTAATCATTAACTGTGATATACAGATATAAAACCTGCCATTGGCTTAAATAGCAACGCACTCAGAGGAGCAATTAGACCGAAATTGTAAAGAACACTTTGGATTTAAATTTCGTTTTATCCAGGATTCCTAAAGTGACATAGTTTTAGATTAATTTGGTTCTATTTTTGAGTAAAATATTTTCAAAGCACTTTCTTGTCATCTGATTTTTAATCAATAAATCAAAAAAAATAATCAAAAGATTAAATGATTAGCAAAATAATCATTAGATTAAAGAAAAACTAAATTATATAATAACAGTTTAAAAACAACAAGCTTAAAACACTGAAATGCGTTTAAAAAAACATCCAAATCTGTTCAACAGAACCTCCAGGTCTGTTTGGACCCTCAGTCAAACAGGAAACTGATCAGATCAGGGGTCAGCTGCTGAGAGAAGCACCAGGCCAGGGGCCAACCTCCTTGCCCAGGGGCCCGGGGCCTATAAGAGCAGAACAAACATGGCAGCAGGTGGAGGACAGGCGGGTCGGGGCCTGTTGGCTCTAGAGGATTAAGGCAGTCAGCTGGAGGAAACTAAGGGGAACACACCTGTATGACTGCAGATGGTTCCTTTTACCATGCTTAATGAGGTTCTGAGGCGAGGTTTGGACCAGAACAGAACATTAATATCTATCCTGGATGACTTCTCTGAACACAGAGAAACTTTAATCAGACCTTTGCTATCGTTTATGTCTCTGAAAGCAGCTGCTGTAATAAATAGCAGTAAACCTGAGTTTGTAATCAGTATTTCTGAGCTGTTTCTCTTAGGAGGAGCAGCAGCTGCAGACAGACGATCATCATGCAGAGCAAACTGAACATTTTGGATTGTGCAACAGTCTCACAGATATGGAACCCATTTGCATTGTAAATGAATAAAAAGGAAAGGCCCTGTTCCTAAAGCAGTCCGGATTCACTAGAAGCATTTAGATCAGATTCACAGAGACTTTATTTATGTCTCTGGTCAGCTTCACATTTTGGACTTTTTGATGAGTTTTTATAAACTGAACCGGTTCAGGACTGACTGATAAAAACTTTATCTCTCCATCCCTGAAGTTGAATCTATCAGATCTAAATAAAACTTCATCAATTCCTCCACTGATTAAATCACTGATTAATGATCTGACATCCTCCTGAATGTTTGTTAAAGTTTTTTTTTAGAGGAACCTTGGAACTGACCCCAGATTTTAACCTGAAAGCAGGTTCTGGGTTTAGGGCCCCTGAGGTCAAGCACCTCCTCTGTGGCCCCCAGTCTGGACCCTCTTACCTTTTTAGCCTTATTGATCTTGGATCTGATCAGGTCTTTGATGTTCTGGCTCTTGTCCCTCTGGAAGTAGATCTGGGTGTCTGAGGGACCGAACCTGGCCGGGGTCTCCGGCCAGCCGAGCTCCAGCAAAGGCGGCTCATAGTCGGACATCATGGGGAAGTAAGTCCCGGAGGTGAGCTCCGACACGGCGTCCGTGTCCCCGTCTTCCCGGTCGGTGCAGCTGTCGGTGTCGGGGGTCTTGCTGGCCGCATGCTTGCTGATGTATCGGATCTCCAGCGGGGAGAGGAAGTTGAGCTCCCGCTCCTCGGCCAGGACTCTCCGGTACTCCTTCTCTCCGTGCTCCAGCAGCGCGTCCGTGGCCAGCCGGGCCGCCTCGTTGTGGCTGAGCTCCAGCTTGGAGCCCTCCCTCCACGGGTTCTTCACCTCCTCCAACCGGGAGGCGAGCTTCCCCAGCGGCTTCCTGCCGCCGGTGGCCGGCCGCAGGCCCTCGGAGCTGATCATGGTGCTGCAGAGGAGCTTCCACCTGCAGGAGTTTGGAGATTATCGATCTGAAACCTGGAAGCTGCTGAAACTAGTCGCTGCTGCTGCCGCTTTGCTCAAACATTGTCGCTATTTTTATCGCAGAAAGAGGATTAATGTCTAATAAAACAGTCAGATTAAGTAACCCCTACAGCTCCGGCTGCTGATTATAATGCACAGTTTTGTCCTGCTTGACCCAAAGCGGGCGGAGCGTTGAAATGGTCCCAGCTTCTCTGGTTCCGGGCCCGTCTGTCAGGATGTCAGGTCCCAGGAGCCTCTCTGCGTCGCAGCCGCTTCCTCCTTCTTTTTCTCGGTGTTGTGTTGCACCAGCGGGGGTCAGGTGTGTGTCTTCTGCTCACCTGTTGCCGTCTTTGCCCTCATTGGTTCCCGGGTCACATGGCACCTCCCCCTCCACCCCGTTACCAAGCCAACCAGCTCACAACAAGTAGTCCACGTCTGGTTAGGGATTTCAAAATAAAGCGCTGACAGCTGATGGCATAAATAAATAAATAATGCAGAGAGAGTCGAAATATTTCACGGATTAAACCGAGTAAAAAATGAGCAAATTCAATCAAATACAATGGAAGCCCGTTTCCGCCACTTTGTTAAAAAAATTTTTAATAATTATCTCATCATAATGAGATAGTATCCCATTTTAATGAGGTAGAGTTACTAGCGTTACTATCTCATTATAATGAGGTAGAGTTACTAGAATTACTATCTCATTATAATGAGGTAGAGTTACTAGAATTACTATCTCATTATAATGAGTTACTATTTCATTATAATGAGGTAGAGTAATTAGAATTACTATCTCATTATAATGAGGTAGAGTTACTAGAATACTATCTCATTATAATTAATTACTGTCTCGTTAAAATGAGGTAGAGTTACTAGAGTTACTGTCTCGTTAAAATGAGGTAGAGTTACTAGAGTTACTATCTCATTATAATGAGATAATATTTAATTATGAGGTAGAGTCTCTAGAGTTACTGTCTCCTTATAATGAGGTAGAGTTACTAGAATACTATCTCATTATAATTAATTACTGTCTCGTTAAAATGAGGTAGAGTTACTAGAGTTACTGTCTCGTTAAAATGAGGTAGAGTTACTAGAGTTACTATCTCATTATAATGAGTTAATATCTCATTATAATGAGGTAGAGTTACTAGAATTACTATCTCATTATAATGAGATAATATTTAATTATGAGGTAGAGTCTCTAGAGTTACTGTCTCCTTATAATGAGGTAGAGTTACTAGAATACTATCTCATTATAATTAATTACTGTCTCGTTAAAATGAGGTAGAGTTACTAGAGTTACTGTCTCGTTAAAATGAGGTAGAGTTACTAGAGTTACTATCTCATTATAATGAGTTAATATCTCATTATAATGAGGTAGAGTTACTAGAATTACTATCTCATTATAATGAGATAATATTTAATTATGAGGTAGAGTCTCTAGAGTTACTGTCTCCTTATAATGAGGTAGAGTTACTAGAATACTATCTCATTATAATTAATTACTGTCTCGTTAAAATGAGGTAGAGTTACTAGAGTTACTGTCTCGTTAAAATGAGGTAGAGTTACTAGAGTTACTATCTCATTATAATGGGTTAATATCTCATTATAATGAGGTAGAGTTACTAGAATTACTATCTCATTATAATGAGATAATATTTAATTATGAGGTAGAGTCTCTAGAGTTACTGTCTCCTTATAATGAGATACTATCTTATCATAATGAGATAGTAACTCAAAATAATGAGATGGTGACTCATTATAATGAGATGATTAATTTTTTTATTTTTTAACAGAGTGGCAGAAACAGGCTTCCATAAAATACAACAAAACGCAACAATAAATGAAAAATTTTGTTGTTGTTGTTTTCAATTCTGTTTATGTTTTAGACTCATTTACAGGATTATAACTTAAATAGCTCAGGAAATAATGAATACAAAACAAATTTTATTCTTAAGATTCAAGGGGAATAAATAAAAATTTTAAAGAAATAAACTTTTCTATTGTTCTCATAATTTTTCTTGTCTATTCTAATTACTGCTGTTTGCACTAAATGATTAAAAAACACAGTTTCAGGTTTAAACCCGATCAAAAGGTTGTGGCGGATTGATTTCATTTCCCGCTGCCACTCTTTTGTGAACCCCTGGGCAAGGCACTAAACCCTAATTTTCCAAGAAGTCAGTGTATTCCTGTATGAAAGTGTGAGTGCAGCTCTTGTAAAAAGCTCTTTGTTCATTTATTTCCATGAAACAGATTTTTAGATAAACTCCAACCATGTTGATGCTTCACATTTTAATACGGAAATGTGGGCTTAATTACATTTTAGATTATTTTTTTCTAATGGGACTTTTAATCCGACAGACAGGCCTCTGATTTGACTACAAGCATTAAGTCCCTCTTAATGATAAAAACAACAAACTGAACATGATATACTTAAACCTTTCTGTTTCAATTGACTTTTATGGTTCAGTTTAATTTAATATCAACCACATTTTCAGATCATTTTTAAATTTCACATATTCTCATCAGCCTGGGTTGGTGCACATTTTATATCTTTTCATGCATTAACATTTATAAGTTATCACTGTTTATTTCAAACATCTTTCTCTTAATTAGTTGATGGAAAACACATCATCTCAAAGTGATTTCTGTATTTCCTGAGGAAACATTTTAGTTTTATTTTACTTTTTGTTTTGTTTGGCCATTTGATGTCTTTGTGCGTCCCGCCTGTTGCTTGTTTGACAGTTTGTGTTTCTTTCTAACAACATTGGCAAAAAGGAACAACAGAAAAATTTTCTCTAAAAATTTTATCTTTTTATTTTGGTTTTCCTCTCAAACCTGGAAAGATACAACTCTTGATATGATCTAAAGAACTTTATCCCACTTAAAAAAAAACAAAAAAAAAAACAAACAAAAAAAACAGTACACGCTGGTTATGGTTGCTCTGGAGATCTAAACCCTAACCTGGTGAACCTCTCAAGTCTTTCGCACCCTATCCTTCTTTCTAGGATGTTTCTGTTTGTATTATAATTATAACAAATGTATTTAAATATTGTTGAACTGTAAGTAGTCTGGGGAGGTAACAGACTTTCCTTTCATTTTAGGCATCATCCATCACTAGCCTGTGCCAGAAAAACAATGCTTTATTATAATTGGAAGTGATACTAAAAGTAATAATCCTTCCAGGGAATAGAACTTCAGTTCTATAAACACGGTTCTTGAGAATTTCCTTTTCATGTTTAAAACCTTTATGAGTCCTCTTCCTTTTGGCAGCCAGACAACAAAAACCCCGAATGGATGGATCTCTGATATCAGTTTCTGTGTTGTGATGGAAAGAGGGGTCAGACAGCTTTTAAAGTGGAAGAAAGGCCAGATGAGGAAGAAGCTCACAGACAGGTATGAGTCGCTACTCGTATCCGTAAACATCCGGGAACAAACCAGAATGAAGTGTGACTTCGTATTTACCCAGCAGGGAGGTGCAGGTGATCGAACTAAACACCTCTCTTTGACATAATCTTCCGGCTCTATTTGAATAAGTAAAGTAAGCCGAGTGCATCTGATTTACATGCAGTGGGTCCCGGTCATGAATAGGGAGGAGGAAGGAATAGTCAGGATGGGTTGGTCTGTGTTTGCAGGAGGAGAAGCTGTAGAAACTCTGTGGTTCTGTTGGAGATGTAGGCCACAGCCAGATTTAATCCCACAATCGGTTATTAGAGCAAATATAATTACCTCAGTTCTCTCCACCTCTTCCGATGGCTCTAAATGAGTTTATTCTCTCAGGTATCTGATGCAAACACTGAACCTCATCTGTGCTAAATCTGACTCAGGATCTGATCTTCCTAACGTACAAAGTAATGATTTCTTTCAGTTCTCTGAAGGTCCAACCACAGCTTTTTCATCAGGTTGAGGTCTGAACTTTGACTGGACCATTACTTAATCTTGATTCCTTCTTTTCAAGCACGCCGTTATAGATCAGGCTCTGTGTTTGGGATCATTGTTCTGTTGATGACCTATTTTGGACCGAGCTTGAAAGATGAGAGACTCCTTGTTTTCTTTGGTATACAGAGAGGGTGAAATATTGCGGAACATGAGTGGAAGTAGGCAGACAGACAGCATAAAGCAGACATTTAGAGTTTCCTCTTGGCAAATTTTATTCACAGACATTCTCATTTCCTGCTCAGAGGCATTTTCGTTAAACTCTCTTTCTCAGCTGGGGACAACATCTACATTACTGAATGGGAATTTATGATGTTATTTAAACCAGTGACATCATGAACCTCTAACTACAGGAAGTGCAACACAATTTACCTGGAAAGAGGATTCGAACAAAGATGTTTAATTTATAAAAACATTATCAAATTGATCTTTAAATTTTTTTAATTGTTTTAAATTGAATTTAGAATTAGAATCAACTAATGTAATTAAGACATGTTTACTTTGAAACCTCAATAGCACATTACAATAAGGTTTTCTTGAAGTGGCTAATAAATAATATATATACCTGTTTTTAATTTATCTGAAATCACTTAATGACTTATACATAAATCTTTACAGTTAATTATTTAAGAGTGAAAGAAAGACCAGACCGACTGGTTTCCAATTTGTAATTGTATCGTATATTTCACCTAGCATTGCTGAAATTCGACATTTCAGGCATTTAAGCATTTGTATAGATAGATTACACATAGATTTTTGCTTGCATACCATACTATGTTGAACCAATGACGAAGACTTATAAATAGTGATAAAGTGTTTTCAGATTGATTGATAAATATCTATAAACCCGTTATTAGACATCCATAAGGAGAGCCTTATGGTAAGGTGGAAACAAAACCTCTGTTTAGAAATAAACTGTAACCAAACAATAAACAAAACCAAAACCAAACCAAACAAACCCTGGATAGTATGTGAAGCTAAGTTACAACAAGGGTATTAAACTAAAGCTTTATAATTAACTCTAA